TCATTGTCGGCTGACGTCTTTGACCCTATCAGTCATTGTCGGCTGACGTCTTTGACCCTATCAGTCATTGTCGGCTGACGTCTTTGACCCTATCAGTCATTGTCTGCTGACGTCTTTGGCCCTATCAGTCATTGTTGGCTGACGTCTTTGACCCTATCAGCACCACTTCAACAGGGTGTCCTGTTGTACCACTCAGAGTCGCACATGTGACTTATATTTCCATCCTTTGCAAGATGACTTTAATAAATCATCTCTATAATAATTTTTGGCGTTTGCGCTTCATTTTTCAGTAATTTAGTTTTTGTTATCGTCAGGACCAGATTTTTCGATATTTCAAGGAACGATAAAAACCGCTGGTGACTAATAGATTATCTCCCGAAAATACTATGTATGATGATTATAACTTATGAAAGTAACTAGCATTATTTGAAGAGTGAATAGAACATGCATACATAGCGGTTCAATAACTTTGAGAACCTCAATAATGCTGATGTACAAAGACCAATTTAGTTAGTAAATTAGTACTTTATTTTGGACACTAATACATACGCTATGCAGTTGAGTGTTGATACAACCAAGACTTAATGAAGACTCGACTTGAAATTCAAGTGTGGGAAACCACGCTGCATCGATGATAATTATCAGAAGAATTACACTTAATTCGTAGTTACTGATGAGATGCTGGTTAATATTTCGAACAAGAGAAAAATGCATAATGAGACGAGTTCTTCCTGGAACATCAGTTGCGTGTGCTCGTTTGTTGAAGGAAAATTTCTTATACGAGCCAACACGTGAAAATTAAGGAACTGCATGGTGCTAACACTTAACTGGTATCATTGATAATGTTCGTTCTGGAGGAGTAACAACCATCATTTTAGGTAAATCTGTGACCCTTGTTCCATCTAATCTTGATACATCCCTGAAGCAGAGGAAACTTTGTAGCGGTTATTAGGGGAACAACTCTCAATTAAATCTTGAATGTTGCAGGTATAGAGCCTTCAGAGCACCAGGCGCTGAACTCAATGCAAGAGACATCATCGTCTCTGTAAAGCCGCTGAACTAGCAAAAAATTTGGAACACTGGCAAAATTTTACAACCACTACAAATACCCATTATGATATTAATGTTGATCAACGGCGAAATACCAAAATAAAATATTCAGAATTTAACCTAACTTACATACATATTTTTTCTAGTTGAAGTAAAGACTGTTTAGTACGGATCAATTAATAATTTTCTATTCGAATTTTAAGCATCAAAATATTAAATTCTCCAGTTACCTGCCTTTAATGCGTTTTCTTCCTTCTTCATTGGTTTTAGGTCCTGAAAGTTCGGTTAAACTATCGTAATTAGCACAAAAATAGTTTCGAAAACTGAGGTAAAAAACAGAGTTGGACTTACGCGTCCATGAACAACGTACCTAGTGGTACATATGTGTACCAACGCGTCAATGAACAGCGTACCTAGTGGTACATATGTGCACCAACGCGTCCATGAACAGCGTACCTAGTGGTACATATGTGTACCAACGCGTCCATGAACAGCGTACCTAGTGGTACATATGTGTACCAACGCGTCCATGAACACCGTACCTAGTATACCTAGTGGTACATATGTGTACCAACGCGTCAATGAACAGCGTACCTAGTGGTACATATGTGCACCAACGCGTCCATGAACAGCGTACCTAGTGATACATATTTATTCTAATGTGTAGTCAACATTTAAAGCGGCCTATTAAATGCTATGCTGTTCAGATCCACACCTTTTATACAACTTTTTTCTTACAAGCTCCAACATTTGAAGAACAAACTAAAGTCCTGAAGAACGTTGCGCAAATTCGTCTGTACTAAAATTAATTTGAAAACCACTTGTGGTCTTTTCTTTCTAGCTCGTCGGATGAGCGACGGTGTCCACCAATCTGGTCAAGTGACCTGATTGGTGGAAAATTCTTTACGATATTTATAAAGATCGCGATAGGGTCAGCAATTACCGATAAATGTATAGTTTTTTGATGTTTTTTTTTAGACAAACGCTATGCAAGATGTCAGAATTCCATCGAGACATATGATTTAAATGGAAATTGTAGTTAAATCATCGACAGTTATGATCGGGTTCAAAAGGCCAGATCCCTTGTGAATCAAGTCACGAAAAGTACAAGAATCGGCAACAGGCCATGGGCCTATTTCGTCAGTGCCGACACTTGTATTCTATTCTAATCGTTTATGGCACCAGCTTTTCGCGTAACCCGAATCTCCAGGGACAGATCTACTTGAAAGTTTATTATTTGTCTGTCCTTCCGTTGATATATATAAGTACTTTAGACTGCAATCTAGCGGCAGAGCTAGAACACTTACTTAGATCATCGTTTCGAACGACCATCTCCATAAACTGCCTCTGAGCAAATAAGTTGCACGAGGCTCTCAACTGCCGGTCGGTTGGTGTGCATCGCGTCACCGATGTCACTCGAGTGGGCCACCCATCGTCTCATTTTTATGCTCATTTACGAAGTGTCTACACTTACAAGTAATAAACTTCACTAATAAGTCATTTCTTTTAAATATTATTATTTATTGTTGTAATTCGGCATAAAATATTATCTCCTCAATATATGGCACAAATTTGCTCCTAATCCACCATCGGCATCAGTCACCGGCACTTTTTTTTCCGTTTACTTGGAATACTGACTTCAGAGAAGCATGTCATCTGAGAAGAGAGCTGAGCTAAGAGCTATCGCCCTGCTATCAGCCTCCGGAAGGCCGCACATGCCATTTGGGTTAGGTCGACTATTCCCACTTAATTATTATAACGCCTAGTCGAACATAAAAAATATTATTATTCTTAAAAGTCATTAAACTTCCGTCAAAGCTGAAGTGCTATTCTACATTTGAATCGCAAAATTTCGTAGGCGCCAAATGTAAGTAAGACATTTGAAGCCAATTCTTTATTAAATATTAGAACATCACTTAATGTGCTCACAAGCCGCCATGTGGTTTTGAAAACGAAATAAAAACAATCGCAGTCGGGTTCGAGCTTTGTTAGAGGTTCAGAATTTTCAGATCATAGCGCATGGCCGCTCTGAGTTCGGAGGGAGACACGTCTTTGTGCGTCCGCTGCATGACTCACTGGTAGACGCAGACAGAGCCATGAGCTTCTAGTTGTGTAACGTATGTTTAAACCGTTTTATAATAAGCCACTGAGGCAGAGCTTTTATATCTTCTACCTCATATTGCTATTCCTTGAGTTATCCAGCTGGCCTATTCTTCAGCGCCGACATCACTTTGATATGATACTTACAAATACTTGCAGATGCCTGTCTGCGAATCTTGTACATCTCGTGACTTGTTCACAGGAGATCTAAAAACAGGTCATTTGATCGAAACTTTTCAAAACTGACTATAGTTTTAAATAGTTACTAGACTTCCATTTATAGGTAGAAAAAATATTTCTAAGCACGTACTGTGCATGGTTGAACTAATAGATAGTTCAACCATGGTACTGTGTTTCTAAGTTTTGGCCACGGTAGGTCGTAATCCTAATTCAGGTACTCGCGTGAAAAACGGAGGAGGCATGCAAATTTCAACAAAATTTAAGATATATTAGAACTCAGCTGAGTTGGGCAGATGGCGCTGGCTCCAGTGTTGTTCGTGGCATGGTGGGAGGCTGAGGTAGTGCCTGTCGCTCGGTCGTTGCCAGGTTCATGAGTTACGGCTGCCCGCGGACATCCATTATCTGATCGCACCGGGATCTGCCAGTGTTGAAAATGAAATCGTCATTCGTATTTTCCTGTAATATTTGAATAAATTGAACCATAAATAAATACTGCAGTGAAGTGATGACTTATTAACTTGACAAAATTAATTCCTGTTGTTAATCCAGTAGGTCATCGTGAAAATTTTTTGGCTCTACTAGGATCATGAGAAACTCAGCCTGTTTCTGTTTGCGGACACTGTTAGTGTCACAAGAGTGTTACAATTGTGAGTGAGGAAATTTTACCATGTTTGCGTGCAGTGAATAAATTCACATATAAAATGCAAGCCAAAAAACGTTACTTGCTCTTAATGAGCTGCTGTGCTTTTCTTTCAGTTGGATATTTTGGCTATTATCATTGGAAAAGCAGCCGTGAAGATAGCCTCTTTAAGAAAAATTTAGTTTCCTTCATGTGTGATTCAGACATATTTCAAGATGAAGACATATCTGCTAATCCTAGGGCAAGAACTAGAATTTCAAGTGCTCCAGACTTTCAAATACATTCTAAAAGAAGTGATAGAAATACAAAAGCTTTAGAAAACTCTGCTGACATTCCATTTTCTGAGTGTCGCATGGAGAACTGTTTTGATTTTACGCGTTGTGGCAAGAATTTCAAGGTGTATGTGTACCCTATGGATGAAAATGTTCCTCCTAGTAGTAGTTATCTGAAAGTGCTCAATGTTATACGCGAGTCAAAGTATTATACTACGGATCCTAGTCAAGCATGTGTATTTGTTCTAAGTTTGGACACACTTGATCGTGACAATTTGAGCAAAGATTATATCCGCAATATGCCTCTTAGAATTCAGCGGTTGCCTTTGTGGAATGGCGGTCAGAATCATATCATATTCAACCTATATTCTGGCACTTGGCCTGACTACAATGAAGACCTTGGATTCAATGTTGGAAAAGCAATCCTTGCAAAAGCAAGCATTGCTACTGAAAACTTCAGACCAGATTTTGATATATCTTTGCCATTATTTCACAAAACACATCCTACTAAAGGAGGAGAAGATGGTACTGTTGAAACCCTTAAATTTCCTGGAAGCAAGAAGTATCTGTTGGCTTTTAAAGGCAAGCGCTATGTTTATGGGATTGGCAGTGAGGCACGGAACAGCTTGTATCATCTGCACAATGGCAAGGACATAGTTCTGGTCACTACATGCAAGCATGGAGGCAGTTGGAAGGAACACCAAGATGAAAGATGTGATCATGACAATGATGAATATGACAGGTGAGATTATTAAGTAAGAGTAATATTCAATTATGTATTCATTATATTGAATTATCTAGTGAGGAGATTTTGACATAAAATTTTAACAACCATTATATAGATGTTGGAACATTACATGATTACATGTCAAGGAAGGTTTTTGCAGCCTTAAAAATTGCAGACATTGAATGGGCATCAAAATTGATTTTCATTGCCTGTCAGCAGGCATGGAATATATCTACTTGGCAAGCCGCGACTGAATTTTTCGAGCCATGATTCTATGGATTTGCCAGCTGTGATTCCATTTCTTTGAGCCTTGATTCCATTTCACCGAACCGTGAATTCCATATCTTGGCCATGAAAAGCCTTTTACGAGACGCCAATTTATTTACAAAGTCCATGCACGTGTTACCCCAAATCTCTAATTTTACCCTAAAACACTTCAACAGCAACAATAAAATTTTTCTTCACTGTAAGTTGAGCACGTGATAATGCAGTCTGACCGCTTTGACATGACCGCAACTATGCGTGATCTTCAACAAAACATTAAAAATTGCAGACATTGAATGGGCATCAAAATTGATTTTCATTGCCTGTCAGGCTGTCACTGTAGTACTAAAATATGATTTTCTACATTAAGTTTCAATTTTTAGGAATGATCTGTGCAAAACTTGAAGTTTGTGAAAACCAGCTGTATTAATTTGCTATAGATAACATATTCAAAATTATCTAAAACTTTCACATATGAGGCTGCTCAAATTTATTTGGGTTCTTGTTTGGGAGATGTTTGTAATCAGTGTAATGTGTACTTGCACCTAATATAATATTTTATTTTCTCCATTTAACTGATCCCATTAGTGCCACCAGGCTAAGAAAATAAGTATTTATTATGTACATTAATTTATTATAAAACTGATTATTTATTTGTACTACATAGGTGTTCCATTGTTTGAATGTTCTGGTTATATGAATGCAAGTGAGAGTTCTGATTTGAACTGATCTGAAAAATGCCTGCTGTTGTTACCCAAAACTGGATGAGCAGCATGTGAAGCTTGGGTGCACATTTTTTGTAACCATTCTGTTGATCATTAGCTACTAAATGACAATATTGCTGATCCCAAGACAAAAGTAAGTGTGATTTCTCTGGCATTTATACAGTCTAAACATTCTGTTAATTGATGACAAGAAAGCCTTTAATTTTTTTATTGTCTGAAAAGTTGTTCATTGCTTAGGAACTTATTTGTTCTTTTTTTTTTGTCTTATGGAACATTCACTGTCAACCAGGATGACATTCTACAGTTCTGAGTGTCAATCAATTGATTGAATGCAAGAAGTTAGAAGCGCGGTCACTCGTTTATATAACGTAATCTCTGAATGTTGGTGATGTTATGCAAGATCTACTCATGTGCAGGGCAATTCACAGAAACTTCCTGAATTGAAAGCTCAACAAAGAAGAACTAGTAAAGATATCATCGCAATTGCAATATAAATGTTATTGTAAAAAACATTGCATGAATTTTTATTTCACTTAGTTTTGAAGGTGACATTGGACTAATGATGGCATCCATTGTCAATGCATCCAGTTCATCAATTTTTGAAGTTCCCTTCAACTTGCTGAAGCATATTGATATGTATTTTGGCGATGGCTTGGCGAATATTGTTCTTCAAATGATGTAGGGTCCTTGGGCAGTCTTTGTAAACAGTTGATGTAATATAACTTGCCCTAAATGTGCTCACCCACGTAACAATCGATTTCCGAACAGAAACCGGACCTGAAGGACGAATATGCTCATCAAGTAGCGATAATGGAACAGCCATTAGAAAAGTATGCCTCGAAAGTAAACGCATGCTACTCACTTGTCCAATCCATAGTGGCAACTGACTAGGCGAGACACAAAACTTTATAATCTTCCCTTTGATATGAAATACTCATCATCCTTTTCTTAAAACATCTGGCTGCTTGGCGCGAAATACAAAATGGGAAATTCCCGTGAATTGCCCTGCATAATCTCCTTGACATACCGTACCTACCTGAGGATGAGAATATACTGTCGACGCTCATTACTATCTTATCTAGCTTGATTATTCTTGCTCAATCACCGCTGTCCCTCTGCCGTACAGCTTTGCCAGACATATTGTCAACTTATTGCACAGGACATAAGATGCAAGATGTGGGTCAGATTTTGACTATATTCTGAAGTTAACATCCTTAAATTGTCAACGTCTTAAATCTTCTATGAGAGCACCTCTCAATGATAAAATGCACTACCTATCACTAAAGTAATAATGTATAAAATTTTCAACCTAATATGTACCGTATACCTCGGTCTTCAATCAACGTTTTTATTTTAAATTGGTCTGGTATCGTACAAGCCGCAACCTGGTATCGTACAAGCAAAAAATATCGAGTACAAGAATCCTTTGTGTGTTAGTATGCATATTGAGTCTGTCATGATGACTAGAGCGGCTTATAGACCCATCCTTCATGTGGCGTCTTTGCTGTCGGATAGATCGTGTTCTCTGTAATCAATTAACGTAACAGATTAAGTTTATTCTTTTTTGACGGTTCAATGGGAATGGTTTGCAGCAATCTTTACATGATGTATTTAGTTTGTCATTTTTCTATCGTAAAAGAAACTCAAGATCGGTAGGGACAAAATACAATGAATTGAAGTGACCATTCAAAACTGTTTAATCCTTGTGATTTTCCGCTAACCTGTCAATGTAAAGTGCCTGTTTTAAACAACTGCTCCGACCAGACGATAAGCTGTTACGGTTAATTTCAAATGTTCCCATATTATACATGTCCATACCCGCATGATTATTGCACGTGCACTGCGAGGTCTCGTGTTATGAATTTTGTCTCCGACACTCAAGCTAACTTGCATGTAACGGCAGCAATCGCTGTTGAAGAACTCTTAGAATGACATGGTTGCTGGTGTAATATAGTTAATTAATTAGGTGTGATATAAGTGAACTTGAAACGCACCACCGGTTAATTTCGGGCCATTTTTTTCCTCGTTATGTCGCCCGCTTTTTTTGCCCTCGTTATGTCGCCCGTTATGACCGCATGTCGCCCGCTTTTGTAGAGATGTCATACCATATACATATACGACCGTCTGCCCGCGCTTGTTCAGGCTAATGCTGTAGGCCTACAAGACCTGGAAATGCCCTCCGCGAACTCTCAGCTGCTCCAGCACTTTTCATTGCATGCTACATATGAACGGAATCGTTGAGAGTCTCGTCCGCCGCATCATTTTGTCTCTGAATTAATAAGTAAAAAATTGCTAAATTGGTTAATTTTAATGAAGAACTAAATGTGTTTCAAAAGTCTCTTTACCTATTTCTCCTGTCGTAAGAATACAATGAAAAATGTTTCGTTGTAGCGAATAACTACTTCAAGATACGAGCATTCTATCAGTTGCCTGATATAGCTCGTGCAGAAACTAGGCCCACATGTAGGTTCGTTCATAAAGCGAACCAATTTACCCCATAAAAGTAGAAAAAAATGCTCCCAGTAGAAATTCGTGCAATAAAATATGGAGAAGAGCCTCTGATCCTTGTCGGACCTCCCCAAAAGTTGCATCTTTGACTAGCGAAAGGGCGAAAAAGAATTATTACTACCTCAAGGCGTATAATAAGGCATTTTTCTGACCAAAGATTGTGGCGATCATATTTTTATTCAGCCGTACTCCAAGGCCAAGTTGACAACCCGTATGTCGGCCGCTTGTTCCTAGATAATGTCGAATTTATCGACAGATATCAACTCTTTTTATTTTAATCCACTACTTCTTTGTTGTGCGAACCACGGTCGTGCAGCGGAGCACATTTTTTCTGATATGTCGGTTCGTAAAGCGGTTTGATCGCAAGGCAGGAAGTTTGTGAAGCGGTATTCCACTGTGCTAAGTTCATCACAGTATTTATAGAACATATTAGCGATGAAAAACTCTATTTGCCACCAATGTTTTGCTGAATAATAACACCTTTTTAAGTTTAGGGCATATACGACTTAGTGTCTGGAAGCCTGCGTTTTATATATGAGCTATCGACAGTCGTAGTTATTGTGAAGCTTTCTTCATTATTTTCTCAGAAAAAAAATTCTAAAGAACAAATTAACTTCGATGGGAAAAGCGTTCATCTGAAAATTTGAAGCAGATTTGCATAAAATAAAATGAAATTACGGATAAACAGCAGTTCAATTATAAGAAAAAGATAGAATGCATATGAGGATTATAATTTGTGTGATAACTGAAGAAGAGAATCAATTATGTTCTAAAAGTGTTAATAATTGCTTGTTTTTGGTACGTTATTTGGCGAGATAGTACACTTGACTGCTGATATATGAACTAATTTGACTTGTTATCTCGACAGCAGCCACAGAGTAATTGTTGTCTGGCGCTGAAGATCATTTTTCTGACATGTCTGGGAACTGCACTTCTAGTGTGTAGATTGTGCATGCTAGACTAAAACTATGACGCTTGTGATGAGTTTGATTCTGGTGCTTGTGATGTGTTTGATTCTGGAGCTTGTGATGTGTTTGACTGTGGTGCTTGTGTTGTGTTTGACTGTGGTGCTTGTGATGTGTTTGACTGTGGTGCTTGTGTTGTGTTTGACTGTGGTGCTTGTGATGTGTTTGACTGTGGTGCTTGTGATGTGTTTGATTGTGGTGCTTGTGTTGTATTTGATTGCGGTGCTTGTGATGTGTTTGACTGTGGTCTTTGTCTTGTTTTTGATTGTTGGGTGCGCGAACCGTGTATGACTGGTGTCTGTGTTGTGTTGGAGCAAATACTGCTATTGTGTGCCTAGTGCGTCATGTAATCGTTAATTTTTTTGCTATTTTTTTCATGAGGCTTAAAAACGTTGGATCTTTGTAATTTTTCCTAATTTAAATTTCTTGTCTCATACACTGCTTTTTTGGGTCTCAATTTCAGTTTTGCTGCGACTAGACAGATATAAATAAGCATTGTGTTGCGATGAATTTGATCTTAATTACTAACTCTGACGCAAAGGTGCAAACGCGC